TTTAATTGTTGTTAGCCATCCAGAGTCATGACTTGAAGTGGGTAATTGTATACTTTGAAACATAAATAAATAAAATAATTTCCCACTACCCTGAGCTAGTATAAAAATAATCTATGCAATTAGGAGAAGGGGGACTGAGTATATTGGGGAGGTCAATTTGGAAAGGGCTGCCCTAAAATACACGCAACTAGCTAAAACAAGCATGGGAACTTCTTGAATGGAAATGAATATATCTATGTGGTCAACTCCCATTTAAACACAAACGTCAACAAAAATGAGGTTTGAAGTTTCAGGAGCTCATTTAAATCTATAGTCAATACAATACAATAGTTATTGTATTGGAGCAGTATTTCTTTAGTAGAAAGCCACAATAAATACAGATAGCCCTCAACTTACAACTACAATTCAGCCCCAAATTTTATTTTATTTTATTTTATTAGCCCCAAATTTTAAGTGTGGCATTTGTTAAGTGGGTTTTGCCCCATTATACAATTTTTCTTGCTACAGTTGTCAAGTGAATCACTGCAGTTGATAAGCTAGTAACTCAGTTGTTAAATGAATCTGGCTTCCTTATTGACTTTGCTTGTCAGAAGATTGCAAAAGGACCTTGGGACACAGCAATAATCATAAATATGAATCGTCGCCCAGCATCTGAATTTTGATCACATGATCATGGGGATACTGCAAAGGTCGTAACTGTGACAAACAGTCATAAGCCACATTTTTCAGTGCTGTTGTAACTTTGAATGGTCACAAAATGAATTTTTGTAAATTGGGGACTACCTGTAATTGTAATAGCAATTCACAGTGCTTTTACAGCCCTCTCTAAGCAGTTTACAGAGTCAGCATATTGTCCCCAACAATCTGGGTCCTTATTTTACCAACCTCAGAAGGATGGAAGGCTGAGTCAACCTTGAGCCTGGTGAGATGCAATCTGCCAAATTGCAGGCAGCTGGCAGTCAGCAGAAGTAGCCTGCAGTACTGCACTCTAACCACTGTGCCACTGCGGCTCTTAATACCAAATGTTTTATTGTTTCATTATAACAATTGCATAATTATTACTATTGGGATTTTTAAAATCATCTTTTGGGAAATTATCCTCATAAGGTATTTATAGCAAAATAAAAATATTACATAGGCCAGAACACAGCCTACAGATTTAAAAACAATAGGGGGTGTATAAATAAAGCAATGAAATAAAAATGTTTTTAAAAGGCAGGGACTAAAACTGACTCGGATAAAAAAAGAGAGAGGAAAGAAACATTAATATTCTCTTGAAAATGAACACAGGAAGAAGGCTGTTGGTTATTGAAATATCTCTAATACCTCTGACTGCCAGATTTTATTTCTATAACTTCTCCAGAGAGGTCTGATCAGCAGTTTACTTTCTCAAATACAAGGGAGAGTGACTTGAGGGGGAAAAATGAATGTGTGGTTATGAGACTCATCAGAGGTGGGTTTCAGCAGGTTCTGACCAGTTCTGAAGAACCGGTAGTGGAAATTTTGAGTAGTTTGGAGAACCGGTAGTAAAAAATTCTGACTGGCCCCGCCCCCATCTAGTCTCTGCCTCCTAAATCCCAGCTGATCAGGAAGAAATGGGGATTTTGCAGTAACCTTCCCCTGGAGTGGGGAGGGAATGGAGATTTTACAGTATCCTTCCCCTGCCATGCCCACCAAGCCATGCCCACCAAGCCATGCCACGCCCACCAAGCCACACCCATAGAACCGGTAGTAAAAAAATTTGAAACCCACCACTGAGACTCATGCATAAGATTGCTACATCTTATGATGCATCGCCAAACCCAGGTAAGAGCCATCAAAACTACAGGTGGTACCTGATTTATCACCACAATTGGACTGGACTTCCATTGTTAAGCAGTGCGATCATTTAGTGAGTCATCATGTGACTGCACACAATGTTATGATCTTTTTTGTCACGTGTGTTAAGCAAATTGTTTCATTAAGCAAATCTGACTTTCCCCATTGACTTCCTTATTGGAATCTGGCTATGTAAATCACCACCAGACTTTGGAGCAATGCAACCATCACAGAGACATACCAGTTACCAAGTTCCTGAATTACGATCACATGATCTTTGGGACATTGTGATGGTCATAAGTGCAAGGATCATAAGCCACTTTTTTTCAGCAGCATCATCATAACTTTGAATGCTCACTTAACGAATGGTCATAAGTTGAAAACTACTTGTATGCAAGATTTAGAGCATAGTTCTTCATACCCATGTCAATTCATTTACATATTATACTGTGGATGAAGACTCAAAGGTGCTTTTTAAAAAGGCAATTGGACTTTCCTTTTTTTTTTTTTTCTTAAAAATGTTTTGCTTTTCATCCAAGAAACTTTTTTCATTCTGACTGAATGATGGGGAATGGAAGGATTTATATTCCTTACAGTCATCTGGTCATTAGCACTGTGAAGGTTGGTCATTTGAGAGTCATTGAGACCACTTGGGTTTATCTGTAACCTCAGGGTCACCTGAATTAGAGGGCAAATGATTGTGGAACCTTCTTGTAACTGCTGAAAGGCTTGTGTTATAAACAGGAGGTAGGCGATGTAGGTGGAGATAGGTTGTTTTATTTATTTATATAATTAATTACAAAATTTAATTACAAAATTTATCCAAAGACTCTGGGAAGCTTACAATATAAAAACTTTAAAAAATCATTAAAACCATCAATCGTAAAACATTCAGGAATTCAGTGATGTTGTTTTTAAAAACAACGACAAACGATCCAGTCAATCAACCAACCAACCAACCAAATCACCAATTAATCAGAATAGGGCTGGAACTGGAAGGGACCTTGGAGGTCTTCTAGTCCAAACCCCTGCTCAAGCAGGAGACCCTATACCATTTTAGACAAGTGACGGTCCACTCTCTTCTTAAAAAGTTCCAGTGATGAAGCACCCACAACTTCTAAAGGCAAGCTGTTCCACCGATTAAGGTCCTCACTGTTAGGAAATTTCTTCGTAGTTCCAAGTTGCTTCTCTCCTTGATTAGTTTCCATCCATTGTTTCTTGTCATGCCCTCTGGTGCTTTGGTAAATAAGTTGACCCCCTCCTCTTTGTGGCAACCTCTCAAATACTGGAATACTGCTATCATATCATCCCTAGTTCTTCTGTTCTCTAAACTAACCAAACCCAAACCCTGCAACTATTCTTCATATGTTTTAGTCCCCAGGCCTTTAATCGTCTTTGAACACAATAGTATATTCTGAAAGAAATCATCTTCTGCCATGTCTTGTTGAATAAGTTAATAATTTGCCAAAATATGGGGGGAGGGGGCACTCCAAAATTCCCTTTTCAGTCCTCTGAAAAGGGGGGGAATCTTCCTGCTTTTTCTATGCCCAATGTTCTTCCAAAGTTTGGGAATACAGATCTTGCACAGTATGCGGCTTTATTTTCTTTGAGCTTCATAAAATAGACATACTGACCTAGCAGCTTTTCAGTTGTTAACTGCATTTTTAGTTCAGCAACATCTGGAAGATTGCAGATTTCCTATTCCAAATATAAGGGAAAGATAAGGTAGGAAAAACATATCCCTAGTCTCAATATACATCACTGTGGCTTATAGCTGCATTGCTTTTATTACGATAGTGGCTTTTCAAAGCAAACTTGTCTTAAATGATTTATTCAGTATCTTAAATGACTATATTTATAATTTCACATAACTGCTATTTGTACAGATGTATATGATCGCTTTTCTCAGCCTTCTTAAGCATGATACTCTGCATTTTTTTAAAATCATAATATATATTTCCATCTGGAAATATATGCAGAAATGGTTGATTGATGCTTCCATCAAAAATCTTCAAAACAATTTCCTTTTGATTGTACAATGGGAAACAACTTTCAAGATATGGAAAAACATTCATTCGGCTGTTGCTTGCAGTGATGGAGTACTGCATAGATAGGGAGGAAAACCTCTAATGTATCACATACAAGAGTTTCCTGAGAAAAGAAACATGAAGTGAATATTGTAGTGAATTATGATTTCTGCATTTTCAGTAATGGTAATAATAGGTTTCCGATACTATAGTGATGGGAGCACAATTTCAAGAACAATGGGGAAGATACCACGAATAAACATATTTTGGGACAAAACTTGCATCAATAGGTTAGAAACATGAAAAATCCAAGCTTTTAAAACTTTTTTAATTTGCTTGAATCCTGAGAGCCATCAACCATTCACCAATGCTGAAAGCATAATTTTTTTTTAAAAAAAGAAAAACTCAAACTATTTGCTTTAGAGAACGAAGCTGAGCTTATAGACCTTCTGTGAAAAATCCACCACTGCAGTACAGGTAGTCCTCAATTTACAACAGTTCATTTAGTGACTGTTCAATGTTACAAGATCACTGAAAAAAGCGACTTATGACTATTTTTCACACTTACGGCCATTGCAGCCTCCTCATGGTCACATGATCAAAATTCGGAGTTTGGCAACTGACTCATATTTATGACAGTTGCAGTGTCCTAGGATCATGTGTTCGCCTTTTGTGACCTTCTGACAAGCAAAGTCAATGGGTAAACCAGATTCATTTAACAACCGTGTTACTAATTTAACAACTGCAGTGATTCATAACAACTGTGGCAAGAAAGATTGTAAAATGGGGCAAAACTCAACAAATGTCAACATAAATTTTGGGCTCAATTGTGGTCGTAAGTTGAGAACTACCTGTGGTTGTAGTTCTCTCCCCCGACCTCTCTCCCTCTCCTCTCCCCTCCCCGCTCTTTCTTTCTTTCTTTCTTTCTTTCTTTCTTTCTTTCTTTCTTTCTTTCTTTCTTTCTTTCTTTCTCTTTCTCTCTCTCTCTCTTTTGCTTTCTTGCTTTTAGCTAATGGTACACATTGTCTTTTCCCCCCTCACAGAATTTCTTTTCAATGTTCTTCTCTTTCTCTGCATCTGCTTGTTCCCATCTTTTTTTATCCCTTTGCTAAGTATTATTTCAAAAATCCTTGTTTTTCTCTCTTTTTGACTTTAAGGACATTGTGGCAGAGCTGGAACTGCAAAGCAAAGCAAGACAAATATCCCAACTTTGATTACAGGTAATGGTTTTGTTAAAAAGACATTAAATTACATCATGATTTCAAACAACCATTCTCAAAATAGAAAAAAAAAACACTTTAGAAAGAAATAATCAGAAGACAATAGCAGGAGCTTTTTACATTAAAAAAATAGCTCCAAAGAAACAAATGATTCATAATCCATGCCATTTTTATATTTGTGTTAATTTTTCTTATTTGTTCTTCCAGGTTTTGTAACTTAGAATCATGCTTTTGATTAATTTCCTTAACTGGATCCCATTTAGATGTTCTAAATATCTTTCAAAATTCCCAACCAACATGGAAGCTGAAGCCCAACATATCTGGAGGATTAGAAAATCCAGACAAGTTTCAGTTTCAGTTTATTTAGATTTATATACCACCCTACTCCCAAAGGACTCAGGGCGGTGAACAGCCAAAGATAAAACAGATACAATATAAAATTTAAAAAACAATTTAAAAACATATTAAATAAATTTGGCCCATACTAATTAAAACATTTAAAAATCTGTTTTTATATATGCATATCCAGGAGTGGGTTTCAAAACCCATCGCTACTGGTTCGCTCATGGGCGCGCTCGCGCGCATGCGTGTGTGATGCTTCTGCGCATGCATCATATGCATGCGCAGAAACATTCAGGCAGGTGGGCAAAGCCTCCCACCGCCGCCGCTACCATTTCGCCTGATCTGGGGAGGACTGGTAGCAACCCACCATGTGCATATCCCATCTTTCTCTCAAAAACTTAAGGTGTGAGTCAGTATTCCTTCTGTTCTCCCTTTCATTTCATTCACATAACATCTCATGAGATAAGATGATAATTGAACTTTGGGTGGCCCACTGATTTTCTACATGAAAATCTGAATGTAGGTTTCCTGGTTTTAATCCAACACTCAGATATTATACTACCCCATGGCAACATAAATCTGGTAAGAGGACTTTGGCAGTTGATAGCACAAATTGAAGAATATGTGTTATTTGAGTTTCAGTCATGAATCAAATACGTCAGTCACAAATAAGTTTTAGACTTTCTAGTGCAGATAATGTAATTTAGAAAGTGAAAATATTGAAGTAATATTTCAATCCTCTTTCATGAATAGTTGTTTTGTGGAGAAATAAAAAGGTGGTGTACATAGAAAACTATTTTTTAAGACAAAGTAATAATATTGTTGTTTTAATCCACAAGATTTGCAAAAGACAAGAATTCTACATTTCCAAACTAAAAAAACCCAAAAGAAAATAAAAACCAAAAACCATACAGTGATAAACTAATGGCTGAATCCTGAATGACATACTAGACACCAAAATTCACAAAGGAAGCTTAGCAACGTTTTATTTGGACAATACATGAAAAGAAATGCATTAATCATTGAAATAAACGGCATGAGTGCAAAGTGCCTACTGTGTTTTAAAAAGAAAATCACTTAATTATTTCTGTTGATGTCAGTTATTCATTTGGGACTATTAAGCAGTAAAAGGGCACAACTGTATATTGACTGCAATATACATTGGATCTGTGCCTGTATTATCCAACGAAAACAGAGCACTGCAAAACAATACAAAGAAGAGGTCAATTGCACAGAGTTCACGAGACAGCTATATCATCTGAGAACTGCCTGGAATTACTAGGTGTGTCATTAAACTATGCGGAACTCACCAGCCATCCTGCAGCACTTCCTTTTCTCTGAGCATCTTGGTTTATCCCCATTAAGTGGGGAGCTTCACCATGCCATGCATGATGCCCATTTTTTTAGCAATACAAATCACTGAGTTTGGGGAAGAGGGTATGTCCAATGGTACATTTTCTTGTTTAGGTCAGAGATGGGTCACCTGGTGACCTTCAGCCTTTGGAGTTCCTAAAAATGGAGTTCCTGGTTGGAGTTTATTTCACATCCTTTTCCAGGTTTTTCTGCACCAACAAAAGGAAAGGCATGTAATAATGGATTTTGCTATTGTTTAATCATTTTTCTATACTGCTGTCCCTCAAATTTACAGTGTTAAGCATGCTAAGGTAACAAGTAATTGATTCTTTACCGCTTCTGATAGGCTGTGCCTAAATGTATGACTTTCCAAATAACTCTTATTGGAAATTTCAGATTTATTTTTTCTTTATAACAGGAGTGGGAAGCTCTTGGTCCTCAAGGGACAGCTAAAGTTCAGCTCCTCACAGCCCCAGACAGCCAATGATATGAATACACAAAAGTGGCTTCTGAAATAAAAACAACAATCTAGGTAATATATTCATCTTAATTACCACTATTCTTCCCATTAATGAAAAAAATATTTTGAAGACCTGAATAGAATGATAATGAAATTTATATGGCAGGGGAAAAAAGTGAGAATCAATATGAAAATGTTACAAGAAAAGTGGCTTCTGGAGGGCCACCAGCTCTCATCCGTCTTTTATACAGAAGTCTAAAAGCAATCTACTTCAACCAGTGGAAATTGCAGGAAGAATATCTTAATTGTTCAGAAGGTGTGCTAAATCTTTTCATGCCATATTGTTTTCTGAGCAACTGAGTGGTTGGAAAAGTAAAAGAATGAAAAGTGTTGCTAAAGAAAGTTCTGAAGATATCCTCCATGAATGCTTGACCCTTCTAGAGTGGTTCATGGTTTCAAGACTTGACCAAAAGTGAAAATAAGAATTCAAATTATTTTCAGTTCAATATTGCAGCCAATAACCTTTTGAACTTTTTTCCCTGAGTGCTCTTTGAACGTTAGTTTTTGTCGAAAGGAATGTAAAAAAATATTCTCTTCATTAGGAATCAAATGACACTTTAAATAAATGAAATCCCATATGAAGGCAGTTTTTGGGCCTTGCTCTGGAAATGGCAATTACTTCATACATTCTGTAGGGCATTCGGCTGCCACTTTGTGATTGGGAAAATTGTAAACTTGTCATTACCAGATCATTGGACTGGAACTCTAATAAGAGTCAATTTCCTAATGCCCGTGTATAATTTGGCAAAAAGAAATATCACTTTTAATGCAGGGGATAATGATGATTTTTTTAAAAAGGGCAGGGCAGCTCCACAAAAGCAGTAAAATGAAGTCCCAATTGCCGAAGGGTTGCCATTGTATTATATAGTGATAGTTGTATGAATGTTTGGTATAGGGAAAAAAAATCCTTTTCACTTCCCAAATAAAACATACTTTGTTTTTATTTTATAAATTAATCAATGCAAATGGGAGAGTTTTTTTTAAGAGTGTTCTTGCAACTTAAATTTCTGGGTAACATGTCTTCACATACCAATTACAGGAGAACCACAGTAAGAGAGCCACTATAGGTCTCCGTGTTCTGCTTGTGAACATCTCAGAACCACCTAGACCTGGGCACAGAAACAAAATGGAGAGAAAAAAGAGAGAAATAGAGCCATCTGGATATTGGTCATAACATAGTCCAAAACTCTTGATAATGTCTTCTTGCAGTTTCATGGAGATGGCACAAAAATTAATTGATCCAGTTTTATTGAAAGAAATCATTTTAAAGCTGAAATTATATTTAAGCTTGGCTGCTGAACTGAAATACATATACTCAAATCTCACCAGGCTCAAGGTTGACTCAGCCTTCCATCCTTTCGAGGTAGGTAAAATGAGGACCCGGTTTGTGGGGGCAATAAGATGACTTTGTATAAAAAAGAACACTGCTTGGGGGGCAGGGGGGCGAAAGCCCTACTAAGCAGGTATATACAAAAGTATGAAGGCTATTGCTTAACGCATTGTAAGCCACCCTGAGTCTCCGGAAAAGGGCAGCATATAAATCGAACCAACAAATAAATAAATAAATAATACTGTAAAACATGCGGGGATAAAGTGTTGGTGCAGAGGTAAATAATTAAGGATCAATTACCGTATATATACCGAACGAACCAAATGCACTAAAAGTAGAATTAAGGTGGGAGCACTTTAAAAATAAATTAAGGAAAGATATCTTTGAGTCTCCTCACATTTAGAATGTTCAGCATATGATGGAAGCACAGTAGAGAACTTACAAATGCTTAAAAACCAGTTTGTCATTATCCTTGGAAAATTAATCTACATGTTTTGGCTGTGGATGTTTGTAATTTTATGTATTGTGATTTGATCATTATCTATTTTTTTAGCCAGTTTATAGAAAGATGGCATAGATGCTGAATATTTGCATAATTCTAAAAAGTCAAAACCTTAACGGAAATGAACGGTGCAATGAGATTTGTATTGTAGGTATTCAGTGAAGCTTGCTCACTGGTAAATACTATGAATAGGTAAAGTCTGATTGTGGGATGGAAGAGGGAAGCATGTTCCATAGACTAGTTTGAGAATCAGAACTGGAATTTCTGAATTTGATCAGCTAGTTTGTTGGCTCAACAATGAAATAGTGTACGGGGTACCAAATTATCCTTCAGCAAGCTTTTGCTGCCTTGCGTTAGCAACATAGCAGAAGAATCAAATATGTTAGGAGGATTGGATTCTTTTTTTCTAGATGTCTTCAAATAGAAGCAGAATAACCATTATCCCAGAAGCTTTAATTTGGATTTCTCTGCTGAGCTGGGAGTTATACTCCATGGCTTCAAAAACTTAAGCTAGCCTGCATAGGATAGAAAAAGTCTGGCCTTTAAATGTTGCTGAGCTACAACTGGTAACAATGAAAGTTATTTTTATGTATACAATTATATTACATGAATTTCTCACTATTGTGTTATTTCAACACACACACACATATACACAGATGTGTGGGAGTGCCTAGGCATGTGTAGATATATTGACAGTTTTTCGTGAGTCCCTCATCAAACCAAGTTACCAAAAAAACTAGGAACCAAATTGTTTATACATTGTTACATATTATTGGAAGCATGGCACCAATTTTGATACTCTCTCTTGAAATTCCAGGTTTGATCCACATTTCTATAAAAGCTTTAGCTTCAGGGCCATTTGCTGTCTAAAAGTCAGCATCCATTACACATAGCCCTGCCAATGAACTGCCAAAATAGGAAATGTCTGGGCAAGAGTTACCTACTGTGGAATCTATGAATAGGCTGACCTTTTTGCCATTGTTTTTCCATTTTCCATGTGGAAAACAAGACAGGTTGTAATAATATTATTTAAAGGCCTAAGGTGGCACCTAATTACTCCTTCTGTTTGTTACGTATTTAGAACTTTAGCAACCTGGCAACACATGGTTGGATAAATAAAGGAAACACAGGAGTTGATTCAATGAGAGATAGACCCATTCTGGGTTTAAAAATTATTGCAAACATAATTTGCTTAACATTAAAGTGCTTTCTTTTATTTTTAATCCCAATGAAACATGAAAGTTTAAAGTCAAATTCTGTTCCAGGTTTTAGTTATCTATGTGCCTAAGTCTGTAGGCACATACAGCGTCTTGTGGGAAAGGGTGTAGAGGGTGGTCATTTTGTTTCTTTTGTGGATCAGGGTGGTAGAGGAACCTTCTATTGGATTTAACCCACTGTTCATGTGAAAAACAGTCAGTGACAAATGGCTATTGAGATGAATCGTTCTAGAGTCTGAGTTGGGAAGGAAGTGCTGCATTCCTAAAGGGAAAAAATAACAGGATTTTTTTCCCTCCTACTCAGTCACAGATTTCTGATTTTTTTTTTTTTTTGGTTTGGAGGAGAAAGAGAAGGAGAAAAAGTGGTCACACTTATTCTATACATTTATAGAATTATACATTTCATGTGAAAAAGGCTGAGCTTGAAGCACGGAGGCCTCCAGCTCCAGACATAGCGGCTCTGATTGCATGAGAAAAGAGGATTACAAACTGGAGTGGGGCAGGATTAGGCAGGCAGATTTAGGCTACTATAATCCCAAGGGAGCATAACAAGCAATAAACACATACTGTAAATGTACCCAAGAATAGAAATGCCTCTTCTTGGTTCAAAAACATTGGTTGATGTCACTAATGGTTTTCCAATAAGTACAATAATCAGAACATAAGACTTAATTTCCGTTCTGTATAATTCATACCAATAGCCATATGAACTGTTAATCTGGCTACAGATGTCCTTCCACAAAAATGAAGTAGGAATAATTAATGCTTATTTCAACAAATCCCATTTGATAAAATTATGGTATTAAACAGTCACCAAATCATTGATTGTTCTAGTTGTATTAATTACTAGTTCAGTTAACTTTTTAAACAGGGCATTCGCAAGCCTCTTTCCCATATTTAACACCGTAAAGAAATTATATACTGCAGAAGAAACATTATGGAAAGAAGAGGTCGTGGAATGTCTGTTAAGTCAAACTATCATTCTTTTCTCAAAAGAATGCTTTAATAATGCTAATCTCACCTCTGTGCTTTGACAGAAGTTTTAGTTTCCTTCCTTTTCTGCTTCCTAAAACTGGATTTTTAATAGTTTTATGGGAAGAATCTGTACTTGACTAATTACTTCAGCTTCTGAGAATGAAATGCTTTTATGGAAAGAAGAAAGGAGATATATATATATATATATATATATATATATATTTAAATGTGGGATATATATATATATTTTGCTGTTCTAGGATTATCCCAATGGCTAGCAAAGATGGAAGCAGTCTAAAGCTGTAACCCTTAACCTGTCTAATAGATGCAGCACAATAGCATTTGGTGACTTGTATAAGCTTTCTGTTTTTTCTGAATTTATAAGACTACACTCCAATATTTCCAGTTAACTTGGAAAAGTGTGCTGAGGCATTTTTCTAAAAGGAAAAAGGTACCTTGTGCTACTCTTATGATGATTGCCAGTGGCATTTCTATTGAATAATAGTAACAATGAACATAATTCAGTTCCAGATTTTCTTAGGTACTGATACTATGATAATCTCAGGAGGAATTGTTTAATCTTCTAAGCATTGATCCTGATCCACAGAATCCATCACTCTCACAGAAATGTGGAAAGAGTTGTATTTTCTTTATTGGCATGAAGAAGTGTTTCATTTCTGGACCATACTCTTGTAAATTGTCACTCTGATTTCAGGATCCCCAATTGCCAGAATGTATTTAAGAGGAAACTATTACAATCTGTTATCTGAACATGCCATGTAACTGGAGTTCATGGCTTGGATCCTGATCAAATTAATTTCACATTGATATCTTGAAATCAAAGAGATACATTATTAACTTAATTCTCCGAGATTTAAATGAGTCTTTAGTGCAAAACTAATTTAGTCTAAACCCAAGCTGTTGTAGTTCATGTTTTCTAGCTGAAGTTGTGCTTTCAAGGATTTTAATATTGGCTGGGATGATTTTT